CCTGGGTCTGGACATGCCATCAGTTTTTTAGTTTTCAACTTGAATTTTTTTTTTTTTCTCCTCCTCCTCTTGTGGTTCTCTTCCCCTTTACATTGCCTGCCCTGTTTGCTGCCAAACTCGCTCCTCACTGTTTCACTTTCCCAAAACTAAAGGGCCGCTATCATCCGCTTCAAGGTCTGTATCTTAGGAACATAATTTCCTTCATTTTTAATTATTGAATCCGTGCTCACGAACTCCCCCGGCCCTGCCCCTCGCGCCTTCCCCGGGCTCCGCCGCAGCCGTGCCTGTCGCTGGCTGGTGGCCCCCGTCCCTTTCTCTCCTCCCCGGGGGTCTCTTGGCTCGCCACTCCTCTGTCTCCACAACTGCTGCCCAGCTTCATAAATAATGAGCGATACTTCAGTGGCCTATTTTGTCAGCCTTTTTTTTTTTTTTTTTTTTGCAATAATTGCAGGTAGGCAGAAATCTGTCTTTTAGCTCTTGGTATATATCCTAAAAAAAAAAAAAAAAATTGAAATACTACTTTAACTTCTGAAGATTTTATATCTGTTTTAGCATTGCCATTTCCCACCTTTGCTCATTTGACGTTCAGATGATTTTATGAAACGGGGAGGCGGAAGGAGGTGCACCCAGTTTGAATTGCTTGGATTTAAGGCACTGTACAAAGTGAGATATTACTGCATGCCCTCACAATTTGGGATTCTCTACCACTGGAAATCTCCCATGCTAAATGTCCTAAGAAGATTAAGATCAACCCTGTTAATATTGCTTTTAGCTGAGCTTATTTGTAACCCTTTCAGAGTATGTAGCACCTTGAGAGATGCCACGACAGGGCTGTTGTTATCACAAGCATTACGTACCCTTTACGCAGTATTTTCCCAAATATGAAGACTTTCTCCGCTGGCTTAGCACTTTTATGTTACTGATTAATTTGCATAAACCATAGTTTTAATTTATTTTTTTTTTTAAAAAGAGACTGCATTTATTTTGCCCCTTTGAGCAAGTCCTGTCTCTTTTCCACAATTCGTCTACTTTCTCATTGCATAGCTCTATGTGTCTTCCTCCAAATCCTAAATAACTGCAATTATCACCATGTATGATAAGTTTACATATACTTTAAAAATTAAGCTTAAGTCACGGAAGACCATATGGGTCTCTTACTGAATTTCACTCAAATTTAAGAGATGAATATGCACTGAATAATGTAAAGGGCCAAATTCTGCTACTACTTTTTTTTCTTTTTTTAATGTGTTTTCAATGACTGGTCAGGAATATGAGTGTCCTGCAGCCCCAGGGAATGACTCCAGTTTAGCTGGTCTCCATGCCTTCTCCTTCCAGTCCCAGCACTGGGAAAGGCTCGAGGGCTCAGGCTGAAGTCACAAAATCCCTGCACAGCAGAAGGGTGTTTTGGAGACTGTTGCCAGTGATTGTATAGAGGAGCATCATCGTAGCGCAATGAAGTTGCTTTTTTTTTTTTTTTTTTTTTTTAATCATTTGAGGTTGAAAAGAGGGATGTCAAGTCATCAATTAATCCTGACAGCATCCTTCTGTGGTGAAAAAATAATACTGTCACACCCATTTTATAAACAGAAAATGTAAGGCAGAGACAGTGGAGGCTCAATAGTGGTGCTGCTGCTACCACCACCCTCCCTTTCCCCATTTCAAGGACAGTCTCGAAAGTTTTGTTCCCGATTACAAAGGCAAGTCGCTAAATCAGGCTGAACCCTCGGCCACCTTCCCATACCCAGACCACTAAACCTCAGCCAGTTCTTAAGAGAGACTTCAAATGTCTCTCTTAAAATGTGTTTTAGACCAAAAAAAACCCCCAAACACCAACCCTGCATAAAAAAAAAATTAGCGTGCAGTATCTAAACGTGGAGATTGAATGTCTCCAATGGCAGTGCTCTCAAATCCGAGTATAGGTATGGTGCCTATGTCTGGTTTGTGGCATTTACAGCTGGAGCTTGGTCATTCTGATGTTTTCATGTTCTTACGATCAAATTTAGAGCATCTTCATACCATGCCCAGTTCTTACTTTTCCTTTACCAGATGCTTATCAAATCAAGTACAAGAGCATTTCAAATACCTAAACTGAGCAACAAAGCCAGACCTTAGAATCACACGAGCTTAATTTTTCCACAAATGTAGTATCTTAGAAGAAAAGTTTGCATTTTAATACCAAGCTTTTATACAGTTTTGCAGTTCTTCTTAAGGAAATGGAGTATATATAATTAATACTGTTTAATAAAGCTCAAAAATGCAACAGATGCAGCCAAAAGTGCACGTCATTTTGAGCAGATCTTTACAGAACAGACATTCCATATTGTGTTCATCTTTTTCCACGATCACTGCTATGGCAATCTGGTGTGTTTAGCAGTTGTTGCTGAGTAAGGCAGACTGGATTGTATATGATTTTCTCCATGTCAGCCAAGAAACAGAGCTCTTTTCTTTTTGATGCAGTAAAGAGGTGGTCTTGTACTATTTATTGCCTTCTACCAGGAGCAGCTATACCTTTACTAACTTGCAAGAATAATCATCCATTGCAAGCTGTAGGTGCACGTGCTAGAAGCTCTCTGTAGGTCTTAACTGAAACTAAAATGGTTGTGGTGTGGAAAAGCCACAGGAACTGAGAAATTGAATGAGGTGACCTCCCAGATAGAAAAGCTACAAGATTCACAACACGTGTCATTAAAATCTGTGAGTATCACATAAAAGCAAAATATTTTAAAAGGGGATACGGAAGGAGGATCACCTACAGCAGAAAACCCATAAGAGAGGCTCCAGTGCAGAGGAAACGTTTCCCCTTTCAGCATTCCTTCTGGGTGCCAAATTTTCCTTCTGTTCTTCCCCACCTATTAAACAAAGCTGCAACTTCCAATTCCTATCAGTTTTCCTAAATATGTGCAGCTTATGTGGCTTCGACGAGCTGTAAGGCTCCGTATTCTCCTGCCAGCTCCTTGACAATGTGGCTCCAACAACATCCTCCACTTTTGGCTGCCTCTGGGACCCCTGGTCTCTTCTGGAAAGGGAGAAGGAAAGCATATCCTTTGCTGGAAGGACTTTTTGTGACTGCGAAGCCGATAGCGCGGCTGTGAAGAGCTTGGAAAGATCCCTGTAAGCGTCGTGGCTCTGCCTGTTGAGGCTGCCTGCTCTGCGTATGGGGATGTTTTGGTCCACCTCGGGATGAGCTGTGCAGAGCTCAGCATCAGGTACGGGCTGGGCTCATGGGGATCGCCGATAAAGCACCCGCCAAAGCCTGCCGAGGGGAGACTGAGGCTAACGGGAAACATGATAATGACTTACGCTGACTCCCAGCACCGAAGGTATTTTCCTTGCAAACGTGCGTGTTTCCAATAGAGACGTTCCCTTCCAGCCAAGTCTGAATCCTCTGTGGTAATCCCGTGTCAGCCCTTTCAGCTGGGCGTTTGGAGGGAACCGCAATACTGGAAACGTGTTTCTGCACGTAATTCACCTACCAGAAACAGGTGGCTATTTTAAGCGTGAGGGTGCAAGCAAACTCCTAGGCAGTTCTGGGATCTTTGCAACGGGAAGAAATTCTCTCTCCGAGCCAGTGCTCGTATCCACTTCGGTTACTGGAACCACCGTGAAAACTCCTGGTTCACAGATGTGAAACAAATTATGAAGCTTATGCAGTTGCATTCCTCCTTATTATTGGGAACAAAACAAATCTGGGAGATGGAGGACTTCTTAAAGTGATTATTGTCTGGCTTTATTTGAAGAAAACGCAACTAATTCTGAAAACTCCACAATTCCTGAAGATTTCTCAGCCTAGGGAAGTCACATTAATTATAAGATTAATTTGTTTTAATTCCCTAAACCAAAAATATTGACTGAATGAGAAATTAACACATGTAGAGCTGCAGATGCCATTTGGCTTCAGATTTCCTGAATGATATAATTATTAATCTTTCATATAGCAGTGTGACAAACCTACAGATTCATTCTACAAAATTAGTCTGTGAAGACAGACATCAGGACAGCTGAGCTGTAGATTTTCCCTTAATACAGGAAGGAAAACAGTGGAATTTTCTAAATAATAAATAAACCCAAAATATTTTAAAGACATATGGTGCACATCTGTCTGAAATACAATAATTTAAAGCAGAGTAATTAAATGCAAGATCCAATATTCACCTTAGAGTGGGCGAATTGTCTCACTTCATTTTCAATATAACTTACCGAATTTGGGAAGTTTAGATCATCTGTGGTATCTTTTGAACCTTTCATTCTGTGCTAGTAAAGAAGATAGATTAGCAAATCGGCTTTTTCTTTTCTTTTTAGATAACCAACCTTGTGTTTCAAGGCATGGAGTGTCATACCCATACAAACCTTTAATATTATCTTCAGGTGAAATTATAAATAGGTATAGGTTTCTTATTTTCTGTTTTAACTCCTTAACTGTCAACTCCTTAAAAGTCCAAAGGTAGAAAGTGCCTTGTGTTAATTTATTCCCCTCTTTACCTCAAGCACTGAATGGCTTGGAAGCTTTTCAAGAGTGTAGCATGGATTCATAAAATTCAGTTTGGGAAGTCCTAAGGTTTTAGCAAAAGGTTTTGATTAACCTGTTCCTCTTGAAAAAGGGGATAAACTGTAATGGAGATTGTGTACATATTTTTTGACAGGCAAAACAAACAAAAAAAAAGGGGTTTTCCCTACCCTACCCTTTTTAAACATGATTTTGCCCTTACCTAGGTGAGATATTACTCAGTCCTCACTTTCAGAGTTGGCAATTTGAAGAGTAAAGGCATCATTTGAAGACAGGGAAGAAAAATAAGAATCTGATGAAACTGAGTTTTGATCCCAAGTGCTGGGTTGAGGAAAATGTTCAGCCATGCGGCGTAAGCAAAGAGGGAAATGATGCTGAAGACGTTTAGTCCCCAAAAGTACATTTTAAGGGAAATACTGTTCTGATAAACAAAAAAAAACCCCAAAACCAATTCCACAAGTAAACATAAATGATGCTAAGTTCTGTTTGTTTCAAGGGAACATGACAAAGATCCTGAAACTTTCTTTAAAGTTCTGCTGAAACTGAAAGAGAAAGATCTGCCTTTTCATGTGTCCGTCCTTGGAGAGGCTTTCACTGAAATTCCAGGTACCTTTCCTTTTTTTTTTTTTTCCTTTACTGTAAAGTTACCATAAAATAAATATTTCCAGAAGTAGTTTGCATGTACATATTTTCTTATATTAGTGAAAGAACATGTTTAAAATCTTTGTAGTCGTAAAACTAAATAATATTGATACGCTGTAAAATGAAAAATGCTAAAGACAGTAAGCATTTTTGATTTCACTTGGCAGTGCAAGACCTTAAGTATGACTTGTGTTTCAGTAACACTTCGATATTTATTTAAATATAGAGATAGGTGTGAGTGATTGGATGGGTCAGATAGGAAACAAAATCTTTCAGGTCGAGGTCACTCATCTGAAATCCAGACTGAGATTTTAGCAGGTGAAAACACTTAGTTCCCTTTCAAACGTGAGGTTAAGGACTTCTGTGGAGAGCTTCTGGTTTGTGTCTGGCATGAAAGTGGTCATTAATCTTTAATATTTTTATACCACTCTTTTGCACACTCCTTCCGTTTCTTGGTTTCTGACAACCGCTACAGTTTCACCCATCTGAAAAACTAATAGGGTTTATTCTGAATACACGCAGCTTTGTGCTGCGATATTGTGGTAATAAAGAGAATAATCAAATCCTATATTGGGTGCACTTGTAGTAAATTAAACCTTTTAAAAATGTACATTAATGATGGGTGAGCTTCAAAATATCCGGCGTTTTAGCTCATCCGTGTTTTCCAAAATGTAGACTTGTATCCCTGTACCTCTTCGGTCTGTAAAATAGACTTGGGGTTCGTTTATTTGTCAGTTCTGTTGTATCTGGTGCCTGCTGGCCTGGTGATATTTCAATTATTTTAGTTTTACTTTTGCAGTTTTTAAGACACCAAGAAATTAATCTGATCCAAATAACTTTTGGGTCCCCAACTGTGGCACAGCTGGATTGGAAAAAGAGGTAATAATTCGGGAGCAGGAAATTCTTTGTGTTTTCTGTCCACTTCTTTTTAGACAGTTTTCTGAAAGCCTGTTCTTCCAGGCAAGTCTTATCGCAGATCCCAAGGCAACATTGCTTTCCAGACTGAGCGCGCCAGATTTCTTAGAAGGAGAAATTTCTAAGGAATATGTGGCAGATAGGAATATACGATGGTGCACTGCGGGAACAGATTCTATTGACACTCATTTTGGATGTTGTTACATATCTCATTTGTGGCTTCAGTGCTTATGAATAATGTAGATCATCCTAAATTTATGCCAGTATATCAAATCTATATGCCGCACCTCTTGTCTTGTCAATTCATTCATCCTCGTGTATAAATAGAGTCTATATAAAGGGCAACGTGGTGAAATGTGTCTCATCACCATGCATTTGATAGGGCCGTATTCATACAAATGACATATGCAGGTCATTGCTAACAAGTACCAATAAAACATGTTGCACATACTTTACTGAAAATCTATTTAAGAGATTTTTTACAGATTTTTTTTTTTTTAATAAATTGTTGGCACTGTGTTTCCTCTCCCTCTGATTATGGGATCAAATTCCCTCAGTATTATAAAAGTCATGTTTACAGTCATTGGGAAGAGAAAAAAATGCATAACGTGTTTCATAATTCAGTAGTCATTCATTTATTTGAAAACCCAGTGTTCACTGGTGAGAAGTGGACAGCAAATATCCAGCAGAAAGGTAAGAAATCTTTCATTTTCAGTGGTGCTAAAGCTTGGGTTTAGGCTCTAAAGGAATCAGGAGGTACGACTGAGGGCTTCAGGCAGATGTGCTCCGGAGGGCAATTCCTGCCCTGGGGAAGGGAGCGAATAGCTCCGTGACTGGCTCTCGTTTGGGCTTTGGAGGAGTTCGGGCTGGCGAGTATCCCAGCGATAACGAGAAGTCACTCCTTACGAGTGGAAGTTGTTGTGTCTGTCTCATCTTTGATCTTCATGCGCGTAGTACAAGCATCGTTTTCAGTTAGAGGTTTAAGACCATCTTCTGTCATTGGTACACCTCTGTCCTAGGATACAAGCGGCACTTTCAGTCTGGGTTTATGGTCCACCACATCTTGGCTAGATGGCCGTACCAGCGGAGCGACATTCGTGTTTGAAAGCCAGCCCAGACATCTCAGCCCACGCCGGGCAGCAGCATGTCTCCATCCTTACCCTGACGCTGACACAGGCTGCCCCAAACCCCCTGCCACCCTCCAGCCATCCCAACCCTCCTCATTCCCCTTTCAACCTCCACCCCTCCAGCTCTGAAACAGACTCAGGAACTTCACTGTACTTTCCCCAGCTTTTTCCACCATTCCTCCATCCAGTCTGCTTGTTTCCACCCTGTCTGCCAGCACATCTTCGGTCTTCCCCATACTCTCCATCTGGTTCCTTTTCGCCTTGCTTCTTCCTTTCCCAGCCCAGCGCTCTCCTCCTTTCTTCCAGACGTCC